GGCGCTGGCGGGCAAGGGCGGCGAGGGCGGCAGCGCGATGTCCCCGCGGGCGCCCGCCGAGGCGCCCGCCCTGCCCGCCCTGGCGCGCCGCCTCGGCCACCACCCGCCGCAGTCGCTCAACGTGGGCAAGCCGCTCTACCAGAGCATGAACTGCAAGCCCATGCAGATGTACGTGCTGGACGTGGAGGGCGGCAAGGAGAAGGGCCGCGTCAAGTGGAAGGTGTTCAGCAGCGGCGCCGTGGTGGGGCCGCCCGAGACCAGCCTGCACACCGTGGTGCAGGGCAGGGGCGAGCTCATCATCTTCGGCGGCCTCATGGACAAGAAGCAGAACGTGAAGTACTATCCCAAAACCAATGCCTTGTACTTTGTGCGGGCCAAGAGATAATGGGGCGCCCGGCGCCGCCGCTCGCCCCGCTCCGCCCGCTCTTCTTTCCAAGCCCCCGCGCCGCTCAGGCCGCCCTCGCCGCTGTGAAGGAGCGGGCGCCAGCCGAGCAATAAAGGTGCAAAGCGAAGCCGTGAGCTCCCCCCGCGCCCCCTTCCCCCCTGGAAGGACCATCCGCCGGGAGCCCCGAGGCCGCTGCCTAAGCCAAGGAGACCCCGATATCCAAAGATACCTGAAATCTCCCGGCGCCGCCAATCCCATCAGTGCTCCCCACGATGCCTTTTATTTTTGGGGAGGGGGGGACACGCAGTGCTGCTCTCTGAGCCCTTTGTCCCCCGCGCAGCCCCTCGAGCAGGAGGGAAGGACAAAACCCTGCATGGAAGCGCCCAAACCCTCAAGATCCAGGTAGGCAGCGCCCGCCGCAGCCGATCCCGATCCCAGCCCCGCTCCGGATGGAGCCGGGAACCATCCCTCATCCGCAGCCAAGGAGGGGAAGAGCGGGCGCTTCCCCCGCGCCCTGGCAGTACCATGAAGTGGCCCCCTTTTTTTATAGATCTCTTATAACATTATTATAATATAATAATTAGTGTGATAATTCAGCTATTATATTATAATAATTTTTTTTTTAAGGTAACACCTTTGTTTTCCCCATGCGGCCACTGAGTTTTTGCCAGGCTGGCCCAGCGCTTCCTGCAAAGTTGCACCCGGAGCCTCTGCTTCCCAAACCCTCCTCCGGCATCGGAGCTCACAGTTGTCCACGGGGGAAATAAAAAAGGGCCCATTTGGGCAAAAAGGCACTGGGGGCACCCATGGATGGAGCTCGGGAGCGAATTCGGGGGATATTTAAATCTGTGTAAAAAAAGATTATTTTCTTTTTTCTCTTT